ATAAATCGTGCTTACGGTATTGGTATGAACATAAACAGCATCATTGGATCGGGAATTGTCACTGCACCAGGAATCATTTGGAATTCAGTAAAATCTCCAGGAATCGTATTATTATTATGGTTATTAGGTGGACTCGTAAGTATGGCGGGGTCCTTATCTTATGTTGAACTTGGTGTCAAACATAAGATTAGTGGAGGAGAAACAAAATATTTACAGACCGCTTATCCAAAACCGAAATACTTTATAAGTTATCTATTCAGCTTTATGTACATTTTGTAAGTTTAATGTTACATCGGAGTTTATTTATAATTAGTTAATTGATTAACGTAAATAATCCGTTCTTTTAATTTATCAAGTGCGATAAGGCCAGGAATTACAAGTGCAGTTTTACAATCTGCGGCGCAATATTTTTGGTATACTATTAATGGTCAACAATTTGACATTGAGACAAATAAAAACGGATTTCATCTCCCATTCTCTCCATTTTGGTATGAATAAATATATTTCCAATAAATTAAAACTTAATTTTAAAATTTAATCTAAAAAAAATATTTTATCTTAGGGCTATAAAATTCATAGCGATCGCAATGTTATTCTTTATAACAGCATATCATATGATTAATAACAGAATGGCTAATATTATAAACCAGTCACTGGCGGTTATAAAATTAATCACGTATTCAATCATCGCCATAGCCGGAATTTTTAGATTATTTTTGGATTGGGAAACAAGTCGACTTCACTGGCAAAAGCCATTAGATGGAAATACAGACTTTACGGCTTATACTTCTTCTATTTTACTGGTAAATATGCATTCAATTTTTGAAGGAAGTTATAAATATTTGATGGAAATTTTATCATGATTTTCATTTGTAGATCATGTTCAGCTATGAAGGATGGAATAATTTGAATTGTAAGTCATTGAAATTAAACATTCTTTATTAATAATTTCTAGTATGTTAATAACGAGTTAATTTTTTTGTAGACTCACTGAATGAATTTAAAAATGTTGAAAAGGAGCTCCTTTTCAGCAATAGTATCAGCGTTGTCATTGTTACATTATTGTGTACGTATATTAGGTTGGAAAGGTCTTAGCCCTCATGTTATCATTCTAAAACCCTTTTTCAATTATAGATCTTCTTGTAAATATTGCCTTTATTTCTGTTGTACCCAAAGAAGATATACTTAATAATGGAAAGATGGATCAAATTATAGCCGCAACCTTTTTTAATAAATTATTTGGTGGAAATGAAATAATAGTTAGAATTTTCACATTTCTAATTGTGCTTTCTGTAATTGGCACTGCTGCTTCAAATGTTTGGAGGTGAGTAATTAGTCCCTCATGTAATTTTACTTGGTAATTTAAATATAACATCTTTTTACTATATATATATTTTTAATAGTGGATCAAGGGTTATCGTTGCAACGGCAAGATCAGGCTTTTTTTTGAAACATTCGCAACTTTTAAGAAATTGGCATCCAGGTTGCGACACACCGGTTAATGCTTTATTAGCACAATTCATTTGGTGTTCATTAATTATATTGTTTGTTGGCAGTAGTTTTACAATTACCAATTTTGAATTATTTTCATCGTTTTCGATGTATAGTTATTGGATCTTTTACTTTGCTACTGGAATAGGGTTATTGGTAATTAGAAAGTATAAATTACTTGAAAGTGAAAATGGATTATATAAAGTTCGATTACCTATTGCTGGAATTTTTATATTGGCAGGTTTATATATACTGATATTTTCCTTTGTTATTAACGTTCAATGTCCAAATATTTTACCGCCTGCTTCAGACGAATGTAGTAAATATTTAAAAGAACAAAGAGTTCATAAAATGTCACCATTCTTTATTAGTTATGGATTTCTTTTTATTGCTTTAATATTTTGGTATTATTATTGGTGGAAAACTACGAAAGATGAAATTAATGAAAAGAATGAAACGAATGAAACAAGAAGCTGGGAGATGATGGGAGAATTTGAGAACAAGAATGATGAAGAAGCTGTCAAAGAAAAAGAAATTAAAGAGTCGAAAGAAATTAATGGAGAAGTTGAGAAAATAAATGATGAAGAATCTATAATAGGTGAAGCTAAGGTGCCGAAAGGAAAGCAGAAGAAAAAGGATAAAATGTTTACAAATGATAAAAACCCTGGGACTACATCTGAATATTATGCTGAACCATCTGGAAATAATATTACGGATCAATAATAATAATAGTACGGTTAAAATCATTAAGGTTCTATAGATGTAACATATACTTTTTATCAATCAAAAGTTTATTTTTAGAAATTTTATTATAAAATATTCCTATTTGTAAATTTTTTTTTTTTTTTTTTAATGAAAGAAAGATACTAAAAAAATGATTCACAAATTTCAATGCATTCGAATTTTAAAAATTAAGTCCCAAATAAATTTTCTCGTCTTTTTTTATATAATGTGTTATAAATATTTATGCAATATTGTATTTTCTTGTTTTCTAAAATTAACTTCTACATAAAAGAACTTACATATACAATTTCACGTTTGAATTTTTTTCTCAGTCACGTGACTTAGAAAAAACAAAGATAATTTATACAGTTATTGAATATAAATAAAACTGTATCAACACTTTGAAAATGTAAATGTAATACAGTTCAAAAAGAGCGACTCAGAGTCGGTTCTGGAACCAAATCTAAATGCTGCTTACCCAATTTTACCGGCTCAAAATCGATACTAGTAAAAAAAAAAAAAATTTTTTAACATGCTCTATTTAACTTGACGCTCCTAGTCTTAATTTACTTTAGGAAAACCGTAGAGGAACCAAAATGGAGCAGAGAGAACCGTCCCATCCCTAGGAGTGACTATACGGGAGGTGACTATCGACTGTATTCGGATTATATTTGGCTACCAATGAAAGTTTATTGCTATATAAGAATTCTTTGTTATTATTATTATTTTTTATTAATCAAAAAACAAATACCTTTAAGAACTATGGATATATTGTATATAATAGGTAATACGATCTGATAAACAGCGTCTATTAAAGAAATGTCGAGAAAAGACAAGATTCAAAATCGAAAAAAAAAAATCACCAAAAAAAAAATTTAATAATAGATTATTTTCTAAACGAAAGATTTTCTTTAAATATATCAAAATTCAAAATTGAAAATTGAACTTTTTTGTCGCCAGGAAGTTAGAACCAAAGTTTCAAATTTATTTATTTGTATAATTAATGATAAACTTTGTAAATTAAACCAATAAAATAAGGTTACACATTTATTTTATTTTATTTATTTATTTTATTTTTAACGATCCTGATGAATTATTTTCATCCGTAATGTCAACATATTTATTTGTTTTAACAAAACATTTTGTGATTTGTAATTTAAAATCAACGAATATGTATTCTTTCGTAACTTGTTATTTTGTTGTAAAATCATTACTATTTTGTATAAACTATTATTAAAAAGAAGAATGTCTTTAATAAATCGATTTCTTTCTTAATATAACATTTGCTTGATGAGCCAAAGTCTTTGAAATTTAAAATAATATGTTTAAATACAAAAAAGTAGACTCAACTGAAGTAAAGATTATAAATCTTGCTTATGGCATTGGCATTAACGTTAACAGCATAATTGGATCGGGAATTGTTACTTCACCAGGAATTATTTGGAATTCAGTAAAGTCTCCAGGAATCGTATTATTATTATGGTTTATAGGTGACTCGTTAGTATGGCGGGGTCCTTATCATATGTCGAGCTTGGCGTTAAACATAAGATAAGCGGAGGAGAAATAAAGTACTTACAAACTGCTTATCCAGAAACAAAAAAAAATGTATAAGTTACCTTTTTAGTTTCATGTACATTTTGTAAGTTTAATATTAAAAATTAAAGTCATCAGATTATAATTCGTTTATTGGTAATAATTATCTGTTCTTTATTTTTTTATTCTAATTTATTTAGTGCGATTAAGCCAGGAATTACAAGTGCAGTTTTACAGTCTGCGGCGCAATATTTTTGGTATACTATTAGTGAACATCAATTTGATATGGAGCCAAATAAAAACGGATTTCATCTTTCATTCTCTCCGTTTTAGTATGAATAATTATATTTCCAATAAATTAAAACTTAATTTTAAAATTTAATCTAAAAAAAAATATTTTATCTTAGGGCTATAAAATTCATAGCGATCGCGATTTTATTCTTTATAACAGCATATCATATGATTAATAACAGACTGGCTAATGTTATAAACCAGTTATAAAATTAATCACATATTCAATCATCGCCATAGCCGGAATTTGTAGATTATTTTTGGATTGGGAAACAAGTCGAC